GACCAAGAGAAGAATCAATGTGAGAACTGTAAGCGGCGAACGGTACCAATGTGACGGCAGTGGACCTATTCGAGTGTGTCTTCCGAACGGTGCTGCTGCTGATCTTGATGTCCTAGTGGTGATGGAGAAGCCATTGGGTTTTGATCTTGTGCTTGGCATGGACGGCATTGAGGCATTGGGAGGAGTTACGCTGGTAAACTCCAGTCAAGTGCAGTTCGGAGGTGAGCTCAACTGTGCTGCCGTTCAACTGACAAAACCAGAACCGACAGAACCAGAGCTGACAGAATCGGAACCGTTGAAACAAGGAGTGATGAACCCGGAACAGACAAACATGGAAACTGGTCTGAGTGGGAATGAGAGCCGTGTGAAAGTGCATGTTGATGAGGCAGATTTTCAAGCAAGTTACGATGAAAAGGATAAGAAGTGGACTATGAGCTGGAAGTGGGCGGATGGCTCGGCACCTGAGGCGCTGAGGGACACCGTGTCGGAGTATAAAATACCGCCAGAGAGCCGTGAGGAATATGAAGAGGAGCTGAAACAGTGGGTGGAAAACGGTTGGCTCGAGCCGTACGATGAAGAGAAACAGGGGCCGCCGAAGGGAACAATTCCTCTCATGGCGGTGCTGAATCGGAACAAGGAGAAGGTGAGACCAGTTCTAGACTTCAGACAGCTGAATTCGTTCGTTGATGCGCATACCGCAGACGCAGACGTGTGCGCCGAGAAACTGCGCGAGTGGAGGAAAAGGGGCACTGATGGAGCCATGATCGACCTCCGAAAAGCATATTTGCAAGTGCACGTAGACGAGTCACTTTGGCCCTATCAAACAGTTGTCTTCCATGGCAGACGGTATAGTCTTACGCGTCTTGGCTTTGGTTTGAGCGTCGGGCCTCTGGTGCTGAAGAAGGTGTTGGCCACTATCCTGAGCTGGGACGCAGACATCAGACGCGCTACTTCAGCATACATTGACGACATCTTTGTCGATGAGAGTGCTGTTCCGGCGGAGCGTGTTGTGGCGCACCTCAAGAAGCACGGCTTGGACTGCAAGCCCCCGGAGCGCCTCTCTGGCGGTACCCGTGTCCTTGGACTTCGGGTACAGGAGGGGGACGGTCATCTGGTCTGGAGACGAGACAACACTGTCGGAGACGTCCCAGAGCCACTGACAAAGCGGGCTCTGTTCTCGCTATGTGGTCGGCTCGTCAGTCACCTTCCGGTCTGCGGCTGGCTGAGGCCGGCTGCCTCCTTCATGAAGAGAGTGGCGAATGCGACTACAACGTCGTGGGATGAACCGGTGACGGACCCGAAGATACTGAAGATGTTGGAAGAAGTCATGCAGCGAGTGGATGCAGCAGACCCAGCACGCGGCAGATGGGACGTGGATGGAGAAGACGCAACAGTATGGGTAGATGCGAGCTCCCTGGCCCTAGGTGCTGTGGTACAGATCGGGGGAGAAGTGGTTGAAGACGCATGTTGGCTAAGACGTGACGAGTGCGCCCATATAAATATGGCTGAGCTAGATGCAGCACTAAAAGGCATCAATCTCGTGATTCCATGGGGAGTCAAAACAGTGAAACTGATGACAGACTCGCGGACAGTCTACCACTGGCTGAGCGATGCGATTTCAGGAAAAGCAAGAGTGAAAACGAAAGCGGCGGGGGAGATGCTGATTCGTCGGCGACTGGAGACCATCAGAAGCACGGTGGAGGAATACGGTCTCCAGGTAGACGTGAGCTTCGTCACGTCCAGAGAGAACAGAGCTGACGCCCTCACCAGAGTGCCGCAGAAGTGGCTCGCTCCGACATCAGACGGCTCTGCTGTCCGTGTTGAAGTCGGTGGCGCCGACCAGCGAAGTGACGGTGGTGTAGCCGCCGCCGCAGCAAGTCATGACAACTCAGATGAGATCCGGCGCATACATGACTCGACTGGGCACCCTGGGATACGGCGCACCTTCTACTTCTGCAAGAAGTCCGTACCAGCAGTCACCAAGAGCCAGGTGCGCGCCGTCGTCCATCAGTGTCAGCAGTGCCTGTCGTTGGATCCAGCTCCAGTCAGGTGGTGTAAGGGAGATCTCAGCGTTCCGGAAACGTGGACACGGCTGAGCATGGACATAACACATGTGAACGGCGGCCAGTATCTGACGGTGATAGATAACGGCCCATCTCGCTTTGCTGTGTGGCGGAAGTTGAAGAGGCAGGACAGCAGCAGCGTCATCGAACAGCTGGAGCAGATATTCTTTGAACGAGGAGCGCCGCGAGAAATCCTAACGGACAACGCAGCGGCATTCCGTAGTCGTGCCTTCTCCGAATTCAGCGAGCGATGGGGCGTGACCATGCGATTTCGAAGCGCCCACCGACCCTCTGGAAATGGGATAGTGGAGCGGTGCCACCGGACAGTGAAGTGTATTGTAGCCCGCTCAAGCTGCTCAGTGCAGGAGGCACTGTACTGGTATAACGTGACACCCAAGGACGACGTCAGTGCTGAATCTGCTCCGGCGAATCAAATATACCGATATGAAGTGAAAATACGTGGAATCGACGAGAACTCCAGCGATCCTGGTGTAGTCGTGTGTCGGTTCAGCTTGGGAGATCGCGTGTGGGTTCGAGATCCCAACACACGATGTGACGTACCCAGTTCAGTGGGAACGGTCACCAAAGTGGTGTCGGCCCAGACCGTGGAAGTCGACAGCATTCCTCGTCATGTGCGCGATCTGCGCCAAGCTTCAACAGACTGCACTCAGGAGTCGGAGCCCAAGTATGAACGAGAAGAGCCCGGAGAAGACGCAGAGGAGTCATGGCTGATCCAGATACCAGCTCCAGGAACGACAGGAGGCTGCGAGCAGATAAATGACGCTGATGGTGCCTCCCAGCTCGAGTGTGAAGTGTCTCAGGCCACAGCGGCTGAGGTCAACGAGACTGAGAGTGCGGACAGCCCGGCCTCAGCCGTCGTCAGACAGATGCCAGCAAAGACGTGTAGCGTGAGGACCCGGCAAGGACATTGTAGTATTTGCCTCTGAAGTCTGCCCACGCGCGCTGTTGTATAGCGCTGCTCCAACGTTGTCTACATACAATTTAATGATCGGAGATCAGGGGGGAATGTGGAGTTATTTCTATTATCAAACTATGTTAGTAATTAGAAGTGCCTACATGATTTAGGTCATTCACTAATTATGAGGTGCCGGAGTGAATATGCACATGTCATATGCCGCGTGATTCAAAAATGCAAGAACGGCAATTTGGAGGAGCAGCGCGGCGGTGAGGGGGAGCGGTAGAGGAACGAAGGAAAGTGGATTTATTGATATGGAGTGGAGTGAAGCAATTGTAGAAGCGTAATTGTTGAGTTCATGGCGGATTTCGTATTGAGTTGAAATCGATAAACGCTTTACTTTTATTCGATCTCTTTCTAGTACAATACAGCCACTTGTTGACGCGGCGCTGTCCTCTCGTCCATCCATATCGGGCCCGCACTATACGGCAGTGAAGTTTGACAGCGGGCGGCACGGGAGGCCGCGAAAACAGCGAAATCGGATCAGCTGATCAGCGGTCGCTGACGCCTGAGGGGCTGAGCTCTTGCGGTCGGTACTGGCGCGGGGAGGAAAGGGATGGAGCTGGGCACTGGGAAGCAGGGTGGCCTGGGAGGCTGAGCTCCTGCGGTCGGTGCCGGCTCCGGGCGGATGGGAGAGATGTGTGGCTGTTGGGGACTGGGCTAGGCAGCATCGTGGCCGCCGCAGAAGCATTGGTAAATCAGGGTATATTGAAATAGGGAATTAGGTCGGCAAATTGCGTGTGAAACATTGGCAAGGGCGACCAGAGGTGGGATAGCCGACCGTCTGTGATAGTCAGCGAGATCTGGAAACTAAATATATGGTGCTTCGTACGAGATCAAATACAACAAAGACGTATTTCTAAATTAAATCAGGCGCTGTGGTGCATTAGCCGGTAGTCGAATCAGTCCAATTTAACCCTTCTTTCTGACTGATCGAACTCCGCAGCCCTTGATCAGTGGCAAAAACTATCCAAACACTTAAATCAATCTAGCTTCCAGTTTTTGGAGACTAATATTACGAAATTGTCAATGCTGTTACCAACATTTTTATAACATAGGTACACGTGTCTTACGATTTTATCACATTATTACGAACAGTTCAAATTCATCACTTTTCCCACTCACTTTGTCGACCCATTGCCTCAGGTAATATCACCCGTCCCAACCGTTCCATCCACCCCTCCCGCCCCGGCATTCCGACACCCCCTCTCACAGATCCCGAGGGAGACGCTATCGACTATTGAACGGTGCGAGTTTGACGACCGGCTCGCAGGCTGGCAGCTGCACCTGATTGAAATACATCCATCTCCGCCGACGCCGTGCGCGCCGTACTCGCCGTATTGGCCGTGCTCGCTGTGCTGTGCCGTGCTAGCTGTGCTGGCCGTGCTGGCTAAACTTATAACCTGTCGATGGACATCCGCGTTGTTGGTTCTTGCAATGTCCACGTTACGAAGCTGTGCGGGCCGTGATCGCTTTGTAGACTGTGATCATCATTACGGCTGTGTTAGTTCTTTTAGCCGCCTCACGTCATAGGCGAGGGTTAGGCTGCCTCGGACCATTTGCATCATCTAATGGACAATATTCTACAGCGTTTTTTATGTAACTGCGTAGTGTGCGTACTTCCACGTGATTAGTCATAGTGCTACTCCACCGCCATAGTCTGATTGTGACTCATTGTGACAGTAGCGTTCATCCATACCATCACCCATGTAACCTTTGAGTGTGTCTTGTCGCCCATCCATCCATCGGACACTCTGCCCCTCCGTCCATTTAGTATTTAGTCTTCATGGGATAGTTCCTGGAAGAAGGAAGACGTCTCACTTCTGACACTGAAGCAGCTGACTTGCGTCACTCAGTGACACACGAGTACCCGCTGTTATCCTAATTCCCGTACTGCTCCGGTGTCTGTGTCTGTCTGACGTCACCGTGACGTCATCCTGACGTCATCGCTCTCCCGGCAGGGCAATGTGAACGTGAACGACTTCCTGGAGCGTCTGCTGTCGGAGCAAGGCCCCGAGTGCCTGGCCTGGCTGCCGCTGCTGCACCGCATGGCCACCGTCGAAACCGGTGAGAGGGATGTATCGAGCTCCTCCGAATGGGCAGAGATCAGTGCGGGGTATGGTGAGAGGTGCTGAAGGAAGGTGGTGTGGGACTGGTTACACAGCATGGCCTCAGTGGAACCAGACGAAATGTTAGCGCGAGGAACGCGCGGTTTAACACACTATTACCACAATGGAACCAGGCGAGAGCTAATTTTTCTGGTGTTGCTGGCCGTGTGACTACTGACTAGGGATATCCTCATTGCATGACTCTTCATCGACTGAAGCATTTCTTGCCTTTTACCTGCGTCCATCTCATGATCCTCTCTGTATTTCCTCGCTCTCGCGTCCTGTCGTGTTCCCGTGTCGCGTGTAATACAGTCGGACGCGGCTGTCTGCCACTAATGTTAGCGCTAACAGGACGAGCCGGGCTCAGCCAATGGCCTGTCAGCGCGCAGCTGATCGCGTTACCCTGAGCGGGAGATCACGTGCCGGCGCCCGGCGATCGCATCCTATTGGAGCGTGATCGGTGTAATAGCAGGCGACAAATGGACCTGGAGAACACTGCAAATGACGGGTATGTGCTCTTACCGGGCGATTGTCGAAAGAATGAAAGTGAACGTCTGTGTTTGCCTCTCTAAATTTCTTTTTAGAAATATCCAATGAAGTATTCTAGCGACTATCCAAAAATCCAAGCGACGATTATGCTGCCCTTTTCCGGAGTTGGCCGTTTTCTTGGACTCCCTGTTACCTCTCCACCCATTTCGCCCGCAGCACTTATGATACTGTAGTTGCTTATTGCCGAACCCATGTCCTTCTTGCCCCTTGCCCTGCTAGTTCACTACACAAACACTGACCCGATGTCCAGATTGGCTCCATTTGGAGGTCTCCGGCACTGTCCCGGCCTCCTCTCTAAGGGCGTCCCTTAGACACCTCTCTGGACCGGAGGAAAGGCGTGCGCCCACTGTCAGGTCGCTCTGAGGATGGGGATCATGCTGTCAGTCACCTCTCCGAGGCCAGGGGAGGGGGTGGGGGTGTCAGAAATCTCTTCATGGCCGAGTCGTTGACACACAGTTTCTCTCCGAGGATGTGGAACATGATATCAGTTACCTCTCCGGGGGGCGGGGGAGGGGTAGAAATATCTTCACGACCGGGTCGTTGCCGTGCCGTCAGCTGACAGTTTCTCTCCGGGGATGGGGAGTGTTCTGTCAGATACCTCTCCGGGCCGGGCCGTCAGCCGACAGTCGACAGCTTCCTCCCCGGGGGCCGATTCATCAGACGGTGTCCACTGCCAGCTGTCCGCTGTCCTGTCCGTGTGAGATGTGTTAATTTTCCCGTCCCGAACCGTCCCAACTCCCAACTGTCCAAAAAGTGATGGGATCTTAGAGCGGGGACTGGGGAGGGCAGGGATTCGAGGAGGTGTGCTATGGGGTCGAGGTGGAAGACCTCCAGTGGGCTAATTTGGTTCGTCAGAGGTGGCAGCCAGTATGTGTGGAACTCTCTTCAGACAGCTGCTCTGTTGGCGAGTTACTCGGAATTCAGGGTGGCACCAGCGAGCCGAACTGCGTCGTTTTCGGAAGTTGGTAATGTATTTCCTTGAGGTAGTTGAGTGGCCATAATTTTCCGGACGCGTGCATTCGTCTCCGGAAAGAACACTGCGCTGAACAGGTCGTGTCGGACAAAGTTCAGATCGACACCTGGTGTCCAGCAGTGGGACAAAGGCCCGGGCTGGAAACATGGTTCTGGAAACATACTTGTGTTGGGATATTGTGACTTGGCCCTAACACTTGCGTGACTTTACTTGGCCCTAACACTTGTACTCGTATTTGTACAATGGATACTTGTATTCGTATTTGTATAATGGATATTTATCGATGATTAACGTGATGGCGTTTCCACCCGTTGGGTTACAATACTCCGCATGCCATTTTGTTTTTATCCTAGTCACCGGACTTGTTTGCTTTTTCCTCTCCTATTTTTTTTTACCTGATTTTATTTATTCTTGCTATAGATGAGCCAAATCCACTGTCGATATGTAGCCCTCCCCATATTTGTTTGTGCTCTACGTGTTACTACCACACTTGTCATTGCACTGACTGCGGCAGTGATTTCCTCTCGCCCTCTCTCCCACCCTGCTGCTCACCCTCCCCCTCACCCCCTCCGCAGTGTACCATAACGTGCAGTGCGCCGCCTGTGAGAAGTCGGGCTTCACGGGCTTCAAGTACCGCTGCGAGCGGTGCAGCAGCTACCAGCTCTGTCAGGACTGCTTCTGGCGAGGACAGACGTCGGGAGCGCACACCCTGCAGCATCCGATGAAGGAGCTCATTACGCCGGTCAGTGAACGAGGAGGGACTCTCGAGAGAGAGTCGCCCCGGGGGAGGACTGACTGCTGAGTGTCCCTTGGAGAGGGAAGAGACTCGTGGGGAGGGGAGGGTGCTCTGAGAATGGTGACTGGCAGTGTGGGGTTATTTCAGATATGCTTATGTCGCCGTGTCAGTTTGTGCATTTGCTCTATGTTGGGTGTGTGTGGAAGTGTTTTGCTTATTGTGTGCAATGAATCACTGGTGGAATTTGTCCCTTCATTTACGCCGTCGCTTGTCCGTGTCTAGGGGATGGAAAGCACTCATTTGTGTGTTTCATTCATTGACGATTCAACTCTAGACTCTTCCGTTCATACGATTCACGATGTTCATAAATTAATCACATTTTCTCCATTTCACAGGATATGAACTTCCATACTTTGTTTTGCTTAGTGTTCAACTCATGAGTTCGTAACTAACTGCCAAGTTATGGGTGCATAATGACCTTCCTGTCTACGCTCCCCGTAACCCCAACGACTAACAAACTTTTCCGCCTCCCGTCCGCTCTCCCATCTTTACGTCTAGGTCTATCCTATCCTCCCCTCCGTCTCCGCCTCCCCCGCCTTCTCCGCCGCATTGCCCGGCTGCATTTCCCGTCACGTTCCGCGGGGCCGCCTCATCTCGTGTTCTGAACGCCATTTGCCTGATGGCCCTCGCCGGCCACCATTATTGCATGCCGCACTGACGCCGTCCGTCGCATTCCCTCCGCCGCGTGCGCCGCGACCCAGTTCGCACGGCAGGGTCCGCTCAACGAGCTGTCATCGACGGCTGGTGCTCGGCGTCCTCTCTGTCGTTTTTGTGGAGACCGACTCCTCAGGGATGCGGGTGTTGTTTGCGGGCTCAGCCGCTCGGTGTTTCTGGCGCCTGGTGTGGGGTCTGTCTGTCGGGTCGATTGTGGATGACGGGCGGTCCGTCTTGGAGCGACGCTGCTGTCAGGCTGGGAACGATCCAAAACTTGCGACACCTTTGTTCGCTCCGTATGCGACTAAAATATACTGGTTTCTGGGTTCGTGCCGGTGGAATCTATGCTTTATAATGCTGTATGAGTCTAGTGTTTCTGCTGTCCAACGGTCTCTAAGTCTCTAAAGAACAAATGTAAACGTTTTGTGTTATTCTTGTCAATTTTAAAATTTAAAAACTTCCGATAAAAAAAACTTTGTACCGTAAGGTGGGGCTATTTGAGACAGTGGGGCTATTTGAGACAGTATTTAAAATTGCTATAAAATAAAAACCACTTAAAATTTAGGCTTAATTTTTTGCTCCGGCGATTTACTGCTCGATTCCACACCTCCCTGAGCAAAAATATCATACAAAAATCAAACGATCTTCATTTTATAGCGATTTTAAATACTGTCTCAAATAGCCCCATTGTCTCAAATAGCCCCACTTTACGGTACACTTAATTTGAGGATAAGGTCAAGTAATGAAACTGTATATCATGATTTTCCTCATAACGCTTAGTATAATCATTGTGTGGATGGTGCTCCTTTCCATCAGTAATGCTACTCACTCTTAGTCACGGTTACTTCATGCTATTTATGCATTATTTCGCTATCATCACGCATCTTTCTCTCTGGTAACTTTGTCCTGACCGTCTGCTGACCCCATCTAACCTCCACTGACCCTGAATGACACCGTGTGATCTTCCAATGACCCCGTTTGACCCCCCACTGACCCCGGCACGCCCGTGTCCGACAGAAGTCGCCGACGGGTCCTCTGTCCCGCTCGTTCCGGGGCAGTTTTCGGTGTGTGCCCGAGCGGCGCGAACAACCCGACCTACCGCGGTACCCGGCTCACCCGGAGAAGACCTTCAACCTGATGCACATTGTGTGAGTATAGCCGCTGCTGGCGGTTGGATTGGGTCGGGTCGGGTCGGCTTATCTGTGTGTGTGTGTGTGTGTGTGGGAGGGGGGGGGACCTTGCATTAGATGACGGACCTTGCATTAGTTAGATTTCTCTGTGACTAGCTTAGGAAGCTACGGTATAAATTTATAGTAGCTATCAGACTGGCTCTTCTGTCATCTGAGGACTGATTGGTGTTTCCCAGGGAGCATGTGATCAAATGAGTGATCGATTGCGTTTTGTTTCATACGTGAATGTGCACGCTTATAAGCTAGCAAGTCCCTTCTGGGAGCTCACCGTGCCGCCTCTAGCCCCGATGGCCGAGTTTCCACTGCAGTTGCTCCTACTTGTGCAGTGGTTTCACGACTGGCGTATGAGTCGTGTCGCAGACATCTGTCCCATCCGTCTCATTACCTCGACGGCAGTGGCTGGCGTCACTGTCGGACGGCTTTGTAAAGCGGACGGGACGGACCCTACACGGCGAGTGGTGTGTCCTCACCGGGAGAGCCGCAGACGGCGCACAGTGGGGATTTTTCCGATCTAGCGCCTATTAATTCAAAAAATCTTTTTTGGATTTTTGTTTATTTTTTGTGTCAGTGGGGCTAAGAAATATCTGAATTTTTCATATATGGCATTCTTTTATCTGTATGTCCACAGCAAAACTAGGAAAAATGCGCCCAAAGTTCACACTCATGCGTGATTACTCAATGGGCTCAGCAAGGCCCGAAAGTATAGCTCAATTTCATTGTCCTGTCCTGTTGGTTTTAATCTTGCGAGGTCTTAAAGTTGCATATCGTCTGAAAGGCACCTTTATTAGGAATGGAATGGCAAACAGAAAGTATGCCATAACCTTACTAAGGTCACAAAAATGCCCTTTACAAAAAACCCTTACAGACACCATATTGAAGGAATGGTATTCTAAATAAATGTAGGAAATCAACAATGTTCTCCACACTTTTCCACTCCGAAATATATCCTATCGAATTCGCCACTTTCTCCTGCACAAGACAACGCCCAGTTTGGCTGCCGAAACTTGCCTGAACACGGAATATTCACATTAAAGTATCTTAACACCCCACTCGAGGAGCGCTAGGGCAAACAGCACGATATAGGTATGTTCCGGACGTAGGCGAATAATTTTACTTCGTGATTTATATGATTCATATTTTCTGAGACACATTCATTAGGAATAGGATGACAAGCGTAAATTATACATACCGTAACCTTATTAACCATCGCACTTGTGAGGAGGGGGAGGGGGAAGGGGTCGGATAAAACCCCATGGTTTTCCGCAAATTACTCGCGCAAAGAGCGGCCGATCGCGCCGAAACTTTCGGTGCCCTCGAGATCATCAATTTTACATCTAACCTAAAAATTTCATGACTCTGACCCAACTGACCTTTGACCTGTGGCATATTTCTCGAGACCATGTTTGGCCGGAATCGCGATTCGGCGTATGCCAGCTCACATTATCCGCGGTTTCCAGTCTTTTTGTGGTTTTAAACGTTCAAATATGTGAAATGATGTTGGTGCCATGCATAATGGTGGGTGTCAAGGTCACGTGAAGGTCAAGTCAAGGTCATTGACCTTTTGATGATCTTGGTTCACTTTTTCGAGTTTTACTTGTTTCTAGGGTAGTTTTTGGTGCTGATTTCGATTTTAGCAGCCATTTGAATATATACGAAGTAGTTCTGGTGCCTTCGTTCCATGTTACGAAGCTATCAGTAGTAGGTGACACTTCTATGTATGGCCGGCAGGACGCCTACTAGTTGATCTAACCTGACCTGACCCGACCTGGCCTAAATGCATAAAGACATCGTCTGTGATCAAAACTAACATGAAATTCGTGATCAGCACCCCAAAATACCCCGTAACACCCTAACTTTGCGAAGTTTCAAGAGGTCTCGATTTCCCAACTTTAGTTGGGTCATTAAACTGACTTGGAAAGTCAGCTTATGACCTTGGACTTTGAAATTGGATATATTCGGCCTCATTTCGTCATAGGCAGCACGCTTGACTTTTCCGCGAAGCTCTAGCTTGATCAGGGGCCAAACGGCTGAGCGGGGGTCCAATTGAACCCCCTATACTAGGTATGTTGATTATGCACATTTACAGGTAAAATTCTCACCAGGACACACCAGCCAACATCTGTGCACAATCTGGCTACAATTCTAATTTTGGTTTGCCCTCTACGAATAAATACGTGCTAGATCGGAAAAATCCCCACTGTGCGGCGGTCAGACCGCGGTATTTCACCTCGCCACCCGACTTTGACCGCTGAGCTGTCACCGAGACGGGGCCGCCGTACGGTCCCGCTGAGTTGTGGTGACGTTCTCTGCCAGAGCTGCACTAGTCGCGGTGCTAATGGCAGTTAAGATGGCCTTATTTATGGATTAGCCTCCGTCGGAAATCTCAGAGGCTGTTCTCTCTCTGCACAGCGTTTGAATATTTCATGTGCGAATGCTGCATACGGTATTCAGATGCAAAGTTGGTCCTATATTACTCCTTCAAATGGATTCAGTTCGCTACAACTTTGAACGCGATGGATCGTAAGCCATTTGAACCGCTGTGGATTCCGTTCTTTGATATAGTTCAGTTGCCGGGTGATCATTCATTTGTCGGCTATTCAATTGCATAATGAACACTCGGTGACGATCCTGCATTGTCTCATCGAATTAACACTGACAGTCGCTGCATTGAAACTTTGCTCTATAAACTTCCACATCCATGGTTACTGTCTTATAATGATGACCAGCAAGCTAGATCACAATCGGCCATCATGAAGTTTTTATGCATTCTTCTGCCCTCACTGATCGCCTAAATGTTGTAAATAATGGGACAACAATGATGCCGTTTATGGTGACAGTTAACGCCATACCGCCGTTGCTAATGTCTGTGGGGTGGTGCTGGTGCTGGTGGCTGCAGTGTGGTGGATGATGGTGACGGTTGAACCGTCTGTGTCCCAAAGGCCGCTGTCCTGCGTGCGCTGCTGTCGGTGACGGGCGGTGTCGTGGTGTCGGTGGTGACGGGTGGTTGGACTGCTGATTGGTGACGGTGTCTGATGGTGTCGGTACCCTCCCCTCCCCCCAGGCCGCCGTCGCCGCTGCTCAGCCATAACGGTCCGGCCGGCCCGCCGTTCCTGGGCGCCACAGGCTCGGGCAGTTCACCCGACTCGCTGCCCAGCGAACGGAGCATGGAGCTGGACGGATACAGGTGCACCGCGGGGCTGAGAGGCGGGTGCAGGCGCACCGCGGGGCTGGGGGGCGGCTGCACGCTGGGGCTGTGGGGCCGGCTGTGTATAGCACTGCTAGAACGGGTACAGCGCTGCTTGATTATGCTTTCCTTCACATCGCGCTTCTATTGTCTTACACTCAGCACCCATTCTTATTCTGGCCAACAAGGCTTGTTGGCCAGAAAAAACAACCTTGTTGAACAAGCTGTGCAGCTCAGTGAATTTCACTTTGCATGTTCACTTTCTTTGAAGGTCATCTATATAGCTCAGGAAGTGAATGCGCTGTTGAATGACGCCAGACTAGCTATAATAACCATGTTTTGAAATAGGTGATATCTTCCCGTCTTTCATGTCATATGTGCTATTACGACCCGTTAGTTTGTACCGCATGTTGCCTTCCTCCCTGTGTCATTCTTCTCTGCGCCGTGTCTGCCAGCTAAACGCATGCTCGACTTGTTTTTACACTGTCGGGCTGCTTGACACATACTTTTTCTGCCAAGCCGCCAGTATCACCTGTCCAAATGCGCATTCAATCGTCAGATGACTGTTTTATAGGTAGCTTCCACTTCTAATCTTCACGCTCAGTTCATTAGATGCATGAAACTATGAGTGGTTTGTACAATACTGCACATATGATTAATATTTAACATGTTTTGCTGCTTCAGTTAGCAAGAGGGACATGGTCCCGCGTGGTCGCAGTTTTTCGCGCAGCTTTGTTTTCGGACACTGTGTCAGCCGGTGTCGGGGTTTTGCCGAGGCCCGGCCGACAGAACGGGGTCGACCGTCCCGTGCCGTGAGCGGCCTCCCTGTGCGTGCGCGCGGTGCGTTTGGCCGGCGTGCCGCGCGCCGTGTCAATAGACCCTCACGTGTCGCACTAACAGGCTGGCCGAGCCGCCCGCTACCGTGCCGGTAGCGTGACACGGCACGCTTTTTTGTGCGCGTTTGGTATAACGCAGGCAGGCGTTCGCTCTTCTGTGTTAGCGGAAATAACGGACGGACCTATTTCCTGAGTTATTATGAGGCTACCTCACAATTTTGTACGGCTTCTGCGACTGGCATTTTATGACGTTCGAATGTCGCAATGAAGTTAACTCGTAACATGAGACTGAAAACATTTGGGAATGGTATACCCCCATTCGCTGAGACCCACTAGTGTTGCTAGCCCCCTAGTGTAGCTGGGGTTGTCTGGCTCCCGATACTAAACCGCTCCCCACTCCCAGGGCTAAGTAGGTCTCCGATCGCGTCCGTCGTGTCCACACACCGCCCTCCGCTGGTCGGACACGGCGAAACCATCCTTCCACATCGCCCCCGCTGTCGCACCCGCCGCTCCTACGGCCGTCCTCACCGCTGCCTCCCCACCGACAACCCACCAACGTGCTTACCCTCGACAATGATAGTTATTTTAGTTTTATCAGCATAGGGACGGAGGAGAGGACTAACAGGCACACGCCAAACAGACAGACAGTCGGTCAGACTGACGGACAGACAGGCAAACAGGCGAGCCGCCATGCAGGCTGACGGACAGACAAATACCCCGTAACAGTGATAACAATCAGGCAAACAAACAAACAAATTACATCTTTCATGGCAGACGGAGAGACATGTTTGCAAAAAAAGGAGATATTTTCGCAGGTTAGCCCAGCTGAAGGTCGCTGTGGCCGAGTCCACCGTCAGTGCCGAGGAGGCGACTGTCTGTTCCCCGGGCCGTGCTACATGCCCGGTTACATGCGCTGCTACCCCTGCTCTCCCCAGGCCCGTGCGCGTCTGATTGCGCCGCTCATCGCCGCCATTTCACTGCGGCTGGTGCGATTGACCCGTCCCTGGCGGCCCGACCAAGCTCGCCCGGCCCGCCGTATCGCGCCGTAGGGCAGGGAAGGGGAGTGATAGCCCGCTTAATGATGAACGATACTTCTCGGAAAGGTCGCTCTGTATGGTCACGTAAAGGAACCGTTAATTCTCCATGGCGGCTGTCGGCTGATTGAGCGATTCAGAGCGGCTGTATTTGGGTCGGCGAGGAATTGGTGGGTGGTCAGGATTTAGAGTTTGTGCGGGATTTCCAGTTATGGGTTGCAGGTTTTCTTCTAAGCCATTATGCTTAGCATCCCCTTTCTAGCGTGATTCATTTTCTCAATGTGGTTTCTAAATGTGGCACCATGTTGAGTCAGCCCTGTTCCTAATTTTAAACTGAATTTGCAACCCATTATTTGGCGTCACTACATTCAAAGCCGCTTAGATTATCTCATGAGCGAATGGAACTCTCGTACTGCGGACGCGTAGAATGCCCGAGGAACGAGGGTGCGCTAACTCAGAGATGTAAACTGCGGACATATGCTGACCATGAGCGGTATAATGTGAACACCGCCCGTACACGTGCTGACTGAGCGGTATGAGTTAACCGCAGACATGCCGTGCGGCGCCCCGACAGACCGGCCCCCGTTATTGCACAAGTTGGCCGGGCGTCTGACGCTGTCGTGGGAGCGCGTGGGTGGGCTGGTCTGTCTAGTCTGACCCCTCTGCCCTTCCCCGGTGTGGACGGAAATACCTGGGGCCGTATTCACGTCGACTTCGTAAGTCGATTTTCTTTCGTAAGTATAATTTGGTATTCACTTCGATACTTTCACTACGATTCACTACGATAAGTTTTCATCGACGGAGTTCACGTAGTTAGGAAAATCTAAAGTAGTTCATGCGTAAGAAAATTCATACGAAAATGATCGACGTGGATACGGCCCCTGGCCTCTGTGCCCCTGTCACTGTTCGGCTGGGTTGATCGAACTCTCTATACCCTATAACGCTACGGGGAAGATGGGGGCATTGACTGAGTGCCAATGCCCATCGCCCCCGTGTGGGTGGACCAGCCTGTCTTCTTGTGCCCCCCCCCCCTATCCCCCTTTCCACCGTTCATTACCCCAGCTGGCCGGCTGCCGTGCCACTGTGCCGCCGAAGCAGTCCCCTAATTGGAGCCAGAAGGCCATCATACAGACCCCGCCGGCCCCGGCCGTTTGGCATATCACTCAAGTCGTTCACTCAGACGGTTATTGTCAATTGGCCCAGTTATTGTTCCGAGTATCGCAGCAATTACTGGAGTCACCTTGGAGCCTTCATTGTGTAGCTATGATTATCGGCCATAATGCGACGGAAGGCGTGAATATATTATAGAAACAATGTGCCACCTGGCAGGTATCTGCCTTAGCCATTCAGACCGCTTGGAGGGAAATAATACCGACTCACGATGTCGATGTAACTGCTGTGTGAAATGTGTGTAGTGGATAACGTTCAAATTTGCTAGTTACCTGTGTCCCTCCAGCAGACCCAGTCGTCGAAGTTGACTGTAATGTTAGGCGAATATAACCTGACCTGACCTGACCTGTGACCCCTGCCCCTCCCCCAGCCCCAGTCGTCTCAGCCAGATGGAGCGTCAGGTGGACGAGGAGCACCGGTTGATCGCGCGCTACTCGGCCCGACTGGCGGCAGAGAAATCACAGGTAAGAGCCACCTCCCGCCTCCAAATAAAGCTCCCGAGCCGTCGACCACTCAGCGTCCCACCTAGGGTACCTCGAGTCACAGCTGGTGGCTGGTGTGTCCGCCTGAGAAGCGTCTGTCGTGTCTGTCGCTCTCCAGGTCCGTGCGGTGACCCAGAGCGGACAGCCGGGCGGATGCTGGACCACTTTATGGCACCGTGTGACATTTGGCCGGCTATGTTAGACCGGACAGTGGTGGTCAGAGGCCGAGCGAATGAACTCCGTGACCCGCCCAAAGTGGGCCCTGGCTTCAGTACATATATGGGTGCGGTGTCAAACATGGCACGCTGTTCGGCCGACTTATGAAGAGTTTTGTGGGTGGCGCTCATTCTTATGTCCAAAGATTCAGGTCTGCCGCAGCTGACATCTACGATGTATCGTAGCTTAACACTTCTCTGCTGCTAGCTATGTGTCGTTTCTGTGTGCTTATTTAGTTCCACCATATGTGCGGCTAGATGCCCACCATATGTGCTAACCCGTTTCGGTTTCCGCCCAGAACCGAACTCCGTCGGACACCAGCAGTTCCGACGGCCGCGCTCGCTCTCAGCGAGAGACCATCGCCCAGCTGGAGGCCAAGAACCAGGAGATAATGCGCCAGATCGCGCGGCTGCGGGCCGGCGCACCGTCTGCCGCCGCCGACGTGGAGCTGGTCTCCGAGCTGCGGGCGCTGCGGCAGCGCCGCGGCGAGCTGGAGACCCACCTGAGCACGCTGCAGGACTCGCGCCGGCAGCTCATGGGGCAGCTGGACTCGCTCATGAAGATGCTGAAGGTGAGGGAGACGGGGAGGGCTGGAGTTAGGGAAAGAGGGGAGTTCTAACTTTGTGGGAGGTGAGAGTATGAAGAAAGGATTGGGTGAGGGATGGGCTTGGGCTTTGAAGTCAACAGAGGACAACAGCAGTCGCCTGTCAGTGCCTCCTTCTTACTGACTTGACCGACCCCCTCTTTTCTGTCAGTCAGCGGCTCGATGCCCCTCTCGGACCCCCCTTCCCCTCCCCTCTGTCACAGTCATCAGCTGTCTCCAGTCAGCGACTCGATGTCCCCACTGACTCTCCTCTCCCTTCCCCACTGACCCTCCCCTCCCCCCCCCCCCACTGACTCCCCCCCCCCCTTTCCTCTCTGTGAGAGTCAGCAGCTGTCCCCAGTCAGCGGCTCGATGTCCCCCACTAACCCTCCCCCACTGAGTACTGACTCCCCTCCCCTCTCCCCTCCCCCTCTGTCAGAGTCAGCAGCTGTCTCCCGTCAGCGGCTCCAGGTCTCCCACTGACTCCCCTCCCCTCTCCCACGGACTCCCCTCCCCTCCCCTCCCCCACTGAGTACTGACTCCCCTCCCGCTCCTCTCAGAGTCAGCAGCTGCCCCCAGTCAGCGGCTCGATGTCCCCACTGACTCCCTCCCCCACTGACCCTCACCCTCCCTCTCTCTCAGAGTCAGCAGCTGTCCCCCGTCAGCGGCTCGATGTCGTTGCCGCGGACCTCCAAGTCGGCCCCCAACACTCCGGGCAGCACTCTGCGGCGCGCTCACCGGCAGCAGACGGCCGCCGCCGCCGCCCACCTGGACCCCGACACGGTCAGTGGCCGGTACTCGGTGCTGGGTATTTCTGTCGTGCAAAGGCAAAAACCATTATGTCGGGTCAGAGGCCATTCCCTCAGGTCAGAGGTCACCCGAATATAATGGGTTTTGCCTTTTTACGGCAGATTTAATACCCAGTGCTGGGCACTCTGTTAGTCTTGAATGTTGCATCAGCGCATATGAAGTCGCCCTGGTGAGCCTGCTGTGCGATCTGACCTCCTGCAACCTGTCCCGTCTACAGAGCGCGCTGCTGGACCCGTTCTCACCCGGAGAGGACCCCGGCTGGCTGGGACGGTAACTCTGCCCTACTGGACCCTCTGCCGACCGTAGGACCCCAGTCGAGCGGCCGGCAGTGAGGCGAACCTCCCTTCGAGCAGCGCCGCCCCCCGCGGCGGACAAACAGTACAAGTGACGGGCCGGTTGTGGTCTGGTTGTGATCGCCGGCTCTCTCTCCGTGTGTGTGTGAGATAGTGGGCGTGTGAGATGGGTGTGAGAGGGTGTAGAACTTGTGGGTGAGTGAGAAGGGTGTAGGATGGAGTGAACTGCGTGCTGCCGAGGGATGTCGGCCAGTAGTGTCTGACTGTATGTGTGTATGTATGTGTAGCGGGGCGCTTCCAGCTCGTACGTGAAGTGTCGTACCTCCCCGCTGACTGGTGTGAGGCCAGTGGTCGCTCCGACTCCTCGTACTCTGGTGTGAGCCGGAGCGGTGGACGCCCTGTGCTCTGTACAGTGTTGGTATTTATTCCGATAGTGTTCCGTGTGTATAATTCGGCAGACAGAAGTGCCAGGTTTTCTGTTGGCACTCGACCGTACACGTGCCCGAGCGGCGCGTCATGCCATTGCCAGTAGCACTGGCTCACGGCTCCGACCGCCGCGCAACACCGCGAGTAGTCTCTCGATAGCGTGTGTCCTCCGTATTCCTATATATCTCTCCCCATATTCCAGCGTGAATGGCCTATGTGGGCCCACGCAGGCACATACTCGAGTGGAGAGGGACCCGGATTGGCTGCCGCTTTCCATTGGAAGGCTAGCCAGGTGGTCAGAAGGTTGACCGGGATATATTTATGGCAACTTTTATGGCAATTTTATCATCGTTTAGTGCAAAATGGTATCAGAAGGGCGTGTTTTGCCCATGTATTCTTATTTTGAGAGTGTGTCTGGTTTTGTAACGTCTTCATGCTCGACTGGCGATTTGAAAGTCTCTGGCATTGCTTAGTACCGATGTTGTAACATTCCACTGCTGAATACCGACTGTTCTGTCCCACTGGTATCAGTTCAATGCTGACCTGGCGCTCAGGATGCTCATCCCATTGAGTCGGACGGCTGCGTCTTTTAGCGGCTGTCAGACGTCTGATCTTCCTCAGAAATCTGACCCTCAGACTCCCAGTCGCCAGTCGAGCGCGGCTCGACCGCCGCTCCCCGCATGGGGAGGATCGATTTCCATACCGACCGGGGCATTCCACCGGCACGTTCCACGGGCGGCTCTCGGCGTCTGATGTGTGTGGACGGCAGCGGAGGGAGGCGAGAGCCATCTGGGAGGGACCCGGGAATGCGGGAAACTGGCCCCTAGCGCAGGGGGGCGCCTCCGGAGCCGCGTCGGCACTAACCATGACTGGCCATGACGGAAAATAGAGCGTCTGTTCGGTGTAGTTTCAGTCGCTAACTCTGGAATCTCCGTACCGTGGGTGTGCAATATTGAGTTTATGTCATACTCTACTACCGAACAAACTATCGCCAGTGCATGGTTCGTTTTACGGTGGCTATGTTATACCTTTTCTCTGAAGGCAGCTGCTTATGCTTTATCGTTTTATCAGATATGTTTATTCCGGGTATTTTTGTGCGTGTTTTTTCTTTTTATAATTGTAACCTATGTTAACCCACGGACGCATTTTATTTTGTCTGTGTTTGTTAGCCTCTACACCACTTCGTTCCATTCGATGTGACCATATATGGCTCATATGTGCACATGGCCGGTCTATGAACGGTGTGTAACCGTGGTCCGATGGTGGGCGCTCTTCCGGCTGGGCGCTCCTCTGGACCAGGTGACCGTGGTCCGCTGGGACGGCTGCCCACCGCGCCGCAGCACACCGCCCCCCGGGACGGACCTCATTCCGGGCGCTGTGCCGCCACCTCCGACCGGCGCGCCGGCCGTGACGTACTGTGACGTGACGTGTTCTCCGTGTGACGCCGCTGATGTACCGTCAGTGGCGGCTGGTTGTGATGTGGGTACAGGGTGTGACCCGGTACAGGGTGCGACCCCGCTCCGGACAGCCCGGCGGCAGCCCGGGGCGCCGGACCTGGTCGCTGTGATGACTCCGCGCCCCCCGTGACCCCAAATACAATAGAGACGTTGACTGAGTGCCGTGTGGTTTGGGCGGAGCTGGGAGCCAGCGGGGGAGAACCGGCGGGTGACATACGAACGAACTGAGGGAGTAGAAAACGCGCCTGGTAGCCTGTTCAGGCTTGGAAAATAGCAAGCAGCTAATGTAACTGCTGCTCGGTGCGGTTCGGGTGAGAAATTACGCCTTTACGTATCTGCAGTAAATCAGTGAAAGGATATCGGCCAGAACAAAGAACATGGCTGAATGCGCCTGAGCTCCGGCATACGATTCTGTTCTGACGTTTGCCCTCATCTGGCTGCTGAGGGGGGCGATTGAGCTTTCTGCTTATTATTTCGGGTTTAAATTTAGTGCCATAACTTGAGGTGGGGTCAAAGGATGTAGATCATTATGCTTGCCTCAGTTCATTCTTTTTCTTTCAAAAATGTTTGCGCGGTGGTTCTGACATTTTGTAATCACTCCTGCCACGTGCTGGTAATATCTGAAACTGATCCCAGCAATTTTGGTGTCTCATTAGTGCCACTGCTCGTAAAGTTGCATGAACCGGTATTGCGACCCCGGCTCTGCTGGTTTGCTCAGGACACTGACAAACTGACCTTGTAATGATCAAAGTTTCAATGCGGTGGAACTTTCAACGTAATGAACGACAGCCCGGCCACCGTGCCAATCGTAACATCGGTGCAATTGTATCACATGCATGATACTTGTTTAATATTTACAGCAGAGTTCGGTAATGCCCCCAGCTATTTTCCAATGTATGCCTCCTAGTGAATGAAACTATGTAGCCTGGTTGAGTAGTAAAGTAATCTTGGCCTGGTTACCCTGTCCGCCGCTGCGCCGCCGACGGCCCTGTGGCATCTCCCTAAACTCATAGTTTCCGTTACTACCACCGCCGGTGGGTGGCGCTGCCGTCTGGCCCGCTCAGTCTCCTATCGACCGGCGCCTGTGGAGGCGCGGCGGGGCGGGGCGGGGCGCTGCCTTCACGGTCACCACAAAGTGCCGGCAGTGTTGTGCCGGAGGCGGCCGCCGGCGGGCGCGACCCTGACCCCGGGGGGCGACGGGCGCGGCCTTGAACCCGGGGCGACCGGTGACTGACCGCGAGCGACACCAGACAGAGATGGCGCTGCGAATTGGTGAGTGGCGTTGACAGAGAGTGAGACAACCGAGGTTTCTATTATCAGCCTCTTCCTGTCATTTTGTGTAGCTTTTTTCTCTTTTCTATATACTAGAATTGAAAAAGAACGATTCTTTATTTCTGTATGTCCTTGAGAGCCTATTGACTGCCTTGCTCATCCAATGTTGTGGCCACCCCCAAGCACAACAGATTGAGATCACCAGTGGAGGTGGATGCATGACGGAAACGACTCGTCTATTTGTGTCCTTCATTATAACAGCTATTCAGCATTATTCGCTTCAGAACGGCGAATATGGCATAATGGTTTGATGGCAAACGTGAAACGACAGACATACAAATAAGTCATCAGAATTTATTGGACAAGAATATCTGGATAAACGACTGAGGCCAAAGATGGATGAGGGCTGTGTCACGGGCTTTGGGTTTCGCCCTTAAACAGTAATGACAACGCCTCGAACAGTTTGTTTTTGCATCATTAACTCACTTTGTTGTTGTGACGCCCTGCATTTTTTGTATCGGTCATGTCACGTATGCCAACATGATCTCGTGGCCAAAATGTCAAACTCGACAAATCTCGGTTAAGAAAATGGCACTATGCTTTTGAAGAATAATACGATTTACAAGGTACGGCTCTCGCGAGGTTAAGCGGTAGGTTTTGCACTTTTACATTTCCGGTTATATCTCAGAAACTAATCGATCTACGATGAAGCCATTTTACACGATCATGCCCGGCTTGTGAGCCAACGAGTCGATCGCATCTTCAACACTTAAAAGCTTAAGACGACGAAGATATAGCCTGAAATACACTAAATTTTCTAGGTGCAAAACCTACCGTTAAAACCCGCGAGACCTGTACCAGCCGATTGAGCCCATGGTTTCTCTGTTCGCTAAGGGTGCGGGCCGGTCTTCGCCCCGGAGTGGTCTCCATCCATCGATCACACGGTTAGAATATTATGCGAGAGACGGGGCCACCTCGAGGTCAAATTCAAGGTTAAACGCTCTATTGCTCAGACTTACCATCCGATCAGCTCTGAGCTCCTAAGTGGTATTAATTGACCCCCGTCAGAGTCTATTTGAGAGCCAGCCGCCTTACATTCGCGCTACACAGAGTTTAATTACGGTAAATTAAGGGACGCTGTAGCGAGCTGGTTCAAAGTCCAGTGGAGTAGCAACTAGCGACCCAAGTCATGGTCGCGAACTTTTCGAATATCAGAGTCCTTCTAAACTCTCTGGTAGTTATTTCCATTGGGCATGACTAGCTCTCTCACCGAAAAGGCCGTGCCGTTTGGCGCTTTCCCCTCCCAGCTGGTTTGCCCATCACACGTAATGAATGATGTTCTGACTTCTGAGCCACTCCTTTTGGTCTGTTTCGGACGCTGCGGGGAAAGAACAAAGAAAACACCCCAACGCCCCCAGTCCTTCAGTGGATCCCCAGCGTAACTCAGTTTTTGTAGGGGCCATGAACCCACCAGTGTGTGTTATTTTGCTAACTGCGCATGAGGTATAGGGTCACATGAGGTTATGCTTTGTTGCATCAAGGTGTTCAACAAGAAAAAGACAAAAGTTTGAGCTTTTTTTAATATTTGCATTCACCCGGAAAGTTGTGCTTCTTCGTATCAGGTTCAATCTGATAACACCGAACGCCCTAAGGCCTGAGCAAATAACTTAGAGTTGACATTTTCTTCGCCGCTCTTATCTCATTAGCCTCGCCGGACCTATTGGCTCTCAACATACCCGACCTTTTGGCGTGTTCGACTTCTCCGCCGTTTCAACGAGATTTTCCCGAAGCTCTAAAAAAAGTAAGGTGGGAGTCTGGTATTTGGTAAATAAAATCGTCCAGCACATTGACATGACATCGCGTCCGGAGCTACGAATTGGAAGCGAAAAAAAATATGTAAAGCATTGCAATGCAAGGAGCGAGACGTCAATTGCACGCGAGTGTTCCAGCAAGTAGTAGTCGATTGGTTCGACAATGTCAAAATGGAAAAAAAATTGACCTTTGATGCCCCTAATGGCCTGACTAGCCGAGGTAAATGGGGTATGAAAGCCCACTCGATGTGTTACAATCGGCCCTGACGTAGGTTAGCTGGCAGTTGGTAGCCGATGACAGTGACACATGTGACAAGGCGAAGACGAATAGCCTGTTGATGTCATGGTAGATCACAGAGTCGCCGAAAGCAAATTTTGAAGCTTTCTGTACCTAATGCATACCTGCACAGCAGGTATTCTGTTTCATTGCTAATTTGTAATGTAGTTAATTGTATCTCTCTGGATAAAGGAACGTCTTTCCTTGCTATTTTATTGATTTTACGAAGACCATTGACCTGCGGGACTGCCAGTGGCATGTAGGCCTTATTTATGCTCGGGTATAAATCGTAATGTTGGACACCAAGTTCACATGCTTAAAATATATGATCATGTTCTACACCTTACTTACTTACAATTTACAAGTAAACTAAAACCCACCTACCTGTATTTGCCTATCGTGCCTATAGCAATAATTTCTGGCACGCAATGCTAATAAAGACACACTTTGTACGCAATACCAGCTTTGGACACCGTCATTCATAATACTTGACTGGAGGCATTGTTCATTTGATTTGGTCACGGAATAGTCGCATCAATTTCAGATTGACGCAGTCGTATGTACACATTCATTCACTGACCTTTGAGTCGGGTCTTTGAAAGTCGGAACGTTGATCAGCTGCTTAAGATTTGCATGTCCACGGCACAGTAGCTAGGTATAGGTAACATATTCGGAAAATCACTGGCGGATCGGGAAAGATAGGTATATTTGGCGCTATCATACTTCTCCAAAAAAAAAGTTTTAGAAATAGAAAAAATCGAATTTTGCTTCTGAATGCGTTGCATCGTTTTTGCACAATATAATTCATCCTTGTTCTCTGCGAGGAAAACGGAAAGGCGTCAACTTTTATCAATTTGGGACGCTGCGGGGAGAAGAATTGTGCTCCAAATCCCCCCCCCCCTCCCCCATGACAGGGCTGCGGAGTCGGAGTCGGTCGGAGTCGACAGTTGTGACCGGAGTCGGAGTCGGAGTCGGAGTCGATTTTAGAAACCCGAGCCGGGGTCGGAGTCGGAGTCACCGAAAATCTGTCGACTCCGCAGCCCTGCTAGGTCTGCGGAGTCGGAGTCGGAAGTTGGAGTCGGTCGGAGTCGACAATTCTGCCCGGAGTCGGAGTCGGAGTCGGAGCTGGTTTTTGAAAGCCGGAGTCGGAGTCGGAGTCGGAGTCGCCGAAAATCCATTGACTCCGCAGCCCTGCCCCATGATGCCTGATCCGTCACTTGAAAAGCTAATTTTGCTTAGAATGACATATCGCCCACGCAACTTGTCTATACCCACAGATCTGCCACTCAGAATATTCACTCGTCATGAACATACATCTCATGAAAATGGCGAAAGCTTACGAAATCATGACCTTCTTGGATATGCATGGGTTTGGTACATTGATCAGCGAAGCGACGTTGCCCGGCTCCAAATGAGTTTTCCTGTTGATAATGGCATGCATCCATGAACCATGGCATGAATTTAGCAGACACGATGTTGGATGAAAGGTGAGCCTTTATATCATCTTGTAAGGAAAATATTGTATGAATCATAATATAACTGCGATACCTACATATCTACATTCTACATATACGCATGCAAATAAGTAGAATTATTACACTTACTTTTTAATTTCCCTTGGAGCATTTTGAACCCCAGACTGCAAAACTGTTGTGCTTTTCGTCGTCGTCAAGTCATTTGTCAACATCGTCATGCCCCGATGCCTACCGCACTCCATGGGAAAGCTCTCGTTATCCGCGCACCAATAGTTCCACATATCTGCTAATGGCGTACCGACCGTCACGACCAGTCGCTTTTCGTCCGCGGCTACATATGCCGCCAGACGTCAGGCTCTTTGGTTAGCTCGAAGGCAACAATAAATGTCAAACTGAGCTCTCAGCCCATTCGTTTTGGTCGTCTGACCGCAGCCTTACCGTGGAACGTGGCAGTAACAAACAAACTCTTCGGAGGGCTGTCACCATCGGGCCCGCCGGTCGATTGCGGTCTGATCATCTTGATGGAAAGATTGGGGTAACATATCCGGGGCAGTGACAATTAGGATGGACAGACATTTAGGTAACCAGCCGTTAGTTATCGACATAAATTCGTGAATAGGCGTGAACCTCATCGGCTTTCGGACATATTTTTTCGGTATTTTATCTAAATAAACCCACGTACTAGCTTATGGGGAAGAAGCTCATAACACATCGTTTTTTCTAGTTCTTATGAATAAAATTAGAACGGCTATGCTAATCTACCATTGATGCATGTGTTTCTACTGTTCTTATATTTTTCATCTTTTCATTTGTGTCGTTGATCACCTGCGTCGTGATCCGGTCCCATCACCTAGGATATATCGGCACGGACGTGAGAGCAGCGCCTCCCACCGGTCACGTCTCCCTGTCATTGATTTGCGAGATGCGGCCAGAGTCAGTCGGCTAGACTCCCAGGTCGATCACGGCGCACGGAAATACCTCGGCCAGTGCCGCTGAATTTCCCCGAGAGCTAGCCCCAGTTGTGGATACTGGGAAGGGAAATTAGCCATGCGACTCGGAGATTCTAAAATAGGACGAAAATGTTACATTTTCTGTCTCGGACTTGTATAAATTATCGGATTCATTTCTATAATACATGCAAATGCATTTTCTTGTAGATGTGCGTTGGCTTTCATTTTGGATAAAAACACTTCTAACCTTCGCAATAAAAGATATAAGACAACATGTAGGTACTCGTATTTTATCAGCGCTCTCAAAGAATTACAAGCCTATATTGGAGTGGGCGATAGAAATATTGACAGAAAAGGTAGGGAGTAGGCGCCAGAAGCTGTCATTTCAAAATGTCGAAGCTGACCAAAACAAAACACTTAGCGAACAAGGCATGTAGGCGTTCGTGGTAAACTAAAAGTATGGCAACAAGAAAATTGCCGCCACCAG